GGCTTGAATCCAGCGCGTGCAAGTGCATAGTAAGCACGTGGGCGCGCGTGGGAAACTATGTTGGCCTAATTCGACACTAGAAATTAAAACGGTCATAACTTAGTCATTTTAAATCGAAATTTGGTCATTCTTGAGCTCAAATTCAAGGATTTTTCGTCTTCTTTCCAATGGTACCAATTTCATTATCAGATTCCCATCCTACTAGGAGATATTTATGTTTTAGTGAGAAAGTGTCGGAAAACTATTTAAACCAATATGGAGTATTTAAAGGAAACTATTTCTGACATATTTAGTTGCACTAATTTGTGTAAATATAATAAATTAATAATTTGTTATGGAAGGAAGTGTATATATATATATATATATATATATATATATATATATATAATTATTTATATATGGGTATAGACAAATTAAACTATATATACCCATATATAAATAATTATATATATATATATATGTATGTATGTATGTATGTATATTGATTTTAAATAATCAAGGATTATTAAAGAAGGTGTTAAACACATATATACATTAAATAACATATGTGTAGGTATATATATATATAAATCATTTAAGATGATTAATATTATCATTCTTATTTGGCATATCTTAATAGGCTGGTTGTTAAATTAATGATATGCGTATAATATGCATGTGATGGTTATGTATGATTTAGCGTATTGTTAATTTTAAAGTTAATTCATGGTTAAAGTGTGGGCATGGATGAATTGTCAAATGATTAAATATATTACCTAAATATTTGTATGAATAGAATACATATATGGAAAGCATGGATGAATTGCTAATTAAATGTATGAATAAATATACCTGTGGAGGCATGGTTGAATTGCCAATGTATAAATATACATACACGGAGGCATGGTTGAATTGCCAATGTATAAATAAATATACTTATGGAGGCATGGTTGAATTGCCAATATATAAATAAAAATATTTACAATGGCATGGTTGATTTGCCAAAGCATAATTACGTTGTTATGTGTTAGATGATTAAAATATCATCTATGGTTGTTGTATGTATGGATTGGATTAGGGTTAGATATTCTTAAATGAGAATAGTTTAGTACTTACTGGTTAGTGTATTATTTTACATTAATAAAATAATATTGGGGAAGACGTGGATGATTTGTCAAAACTTGGATTTTGGATATGTGATTTAAACAATTAAAATCATTATCGGGTTGGGATTAAATAGAGTATTTCTTTTATTATAATTTGTTATTTAAATGATTAGACAACTGTCTAGGATGGGATTAAGGTCAAAGGAGTTTTTATAAAATGAAATGGTAGATTGGTCTAGGTATGAATATTATTTTAATAATTATTTAATAGGTATGAAAATTTAATAAACCTATTAATGGATGTGATTAGTATAGTATATATAATTATATATAGACATGTATATCGTGCTTTATTAAAGTTAAAACTTTATTAGGTTTGGTTTTGATCAGAGATGATCTGCTTATTGGTTTTCAGAGGCCTGGTAGAGTGAACTTGCTCGTAGGGTTTAACCCACGATTTATTTTTCAGGTTATTAGAGGTTCCAGTCTCGAGGTTGAGGATCCGCAGCTGGGAGACTGTCATTCGTCTATTCATCTTGTGTACTTTTAAATAGTATTGGATTATTGGATAATGTTTTAAGGGGTCCTTGAGTTATGGGATTTCCGAATTGTAATTGTTGGAGAATCATTAAGTAATATTTATTTATTAGTTTTCTTCAGCGGTTTATTTATTCTTTATTATTCATCTTTGTATTCTGTGCTTGTTAAATACTTAAATTGTTTTGATATCCCTTGATTTTGTGCGCGGACTTGATCAATCCGTGTTCCAAAATTAGGGGGTATCACATAAGAAGAGATCAAATTTCCTTTTAATAATGTGTCTTATAAATTATTGTCTTATATACAAGTTTATAAATATTTAAACATATAAAATCATCAACTAATTTGGGACATAATAAAAAGAAAAAATATATATGTAGAGTGACAACTTTTACGAGAAATAAAAATTTTCTAGTGTTTTATATCAAAAACATTTTGGAGAAATTACACCACTCGCGAGAATTATACTTTCCTCAAAATTTTCATTTTCCTTCTTACCAAACAAGGTTTAATTTATTTAATTTTTTTTTTTCCATTCTTTTTCTTTCTTACTACTTCTACCCAACCAAATCAATCAGAAAAATCAAAGGAGTGTAACTATACAATTGAAAAATTAGGAGAAAATAGAGAGGAGGATTTCAAATCAATTTGCTTATTATCTTGATTTGGACAATCTTTATAATACATCAATGCAATTTTCATATAATTGCACCAATTCAAAGCACCACTTTTTATTGCTCCAACTAAACTCTAATTGGACCAATTCTACCGGAATATTCACAATCAAAAACTTTAGTTATCTTCAGAAATGTCAGGTTTATAACACCAGGCAGCTTTCAGGAAGATTGATTGAAGTTGTTGAACCACTTAACATAATCTATTCTCTCCCTCCTCTCTCTCTCTATATCTATTATCATTCACAGGACAACAACTACAACCCAAGCTGTTCCATTTCCTGGAAAAAAAAGATAAAAAATGTCCGAATGCGATTATTACTATTACTCGACGAGGCAAGGGCCGTGCATCCGGTTAGGGGAACGGAAGCCCCTGACTTGCGATAACTACAATGATATCAGTCATGACGGCTGCTTGGACCACGTAAAAAATAGTCGATATGAAGCACCAATGCCATGGATCAAATGTGCCACTAATTATTCTTAATTTATTATTTTTATTAATGTCTACTTTATTTTATTATTATTTTTCATATAAATTAAGGAAAGGAGTACTTGAACACGGGTACACTCATTCTACATAGCTTCAAGGAAAATGGTAGAAATTTTTGGTAATAATTTTAATTTGAACACAAGGAAAAAAAAAAAAAAAAAGAAAGAAAATTTGAAAAGAAAAAAATATATGAATAGAGAGAGCTGCAAGAGAGAGAACATGAAAAAGGTATCCAAATTAAAAGGTTTTTTTTTTTTTTTTTTTGACTAAATTGCCTCTTTTGATCCGAAAAAAAAGTCCCCATTATAAAAAAACTATCACTTTTGACAAGAGAAAAAATCCATTAAAATATCTTTATTCAAGAAATGATCTCTTTTGTCAAATTCAAAAAATAAAAAATAAAAAGAGTATGAAAAAGAGGATTAAAAAAAAAATCTCTGTCGAATAAATTATTGATAAGACAAAAAAAGAAAAGAAAAAAAAAGAGGTTATTTATATTGAATAAATTATCTCTTTTTACAAGACCTATCATAAATTAGAAAAAAAAAATTTAACTTTGTTGAATAAATTATTGGCGCATAGAAAAAATAGTAAAAGAATTAAAAAAAGGTAAAAAAAAGTTAAAGTTGTATAAAGGGTAATTTTGGCATTATAAAATAAGGAATGGTGTGTTAATGAGTTCAGGAACTTTCTTGTCATTTCTTTTAAAAGATAAGGTAAGTGAAGCGCAATTAGAGAAAAATAAATAAGGTGCAAATATAGTCTCCCTTATGCAAATTAACAATATTGTTTATTTGAACCCAAGTGATTAACTCAAGTACTCAAAGCCATTTGGCTACTATGTTTTAAGAAGTATCAAGTTTAAGTTTCAACTTTCTTTTAGTGCAAATAAAATTTTGGGACCACACCCGACACCCACGGATGAAAACCAGTGTTTTACCCACCCGTGTATAAAAAGTGTTTTGCAGTTTGTATGGTGTCCCTAAATTAGTTGGGAAAAGGACCGGAATAGCCCAATTATCAAAAAAATAAAAAAAACTTGTTTGTATCAAGAAAAAATTATTTTACATAAATTGTTAGCATACTGACCAAATAGATTGAGTGATGTCTGCCCTGACGTCTCCAAAAAGCCTTTTAGCTAGGTTTATATGGCCATTGACGGAGTTTTGTTTTGTTTTTCCCCCTATTTTTGCCCCTTGTTAACAGAGTTACTATAATTATTATTATTTGTTGAAATAAGTAATTCCCGAAGCTATCACGGTTAAGAAGCTTATTTACGACACACAATAAATAAATAAATATATAAATAACAAGGAGACAGACCTAGCAAGAGGCAACATCTCCTTATCTTAAAAATGAGTGATGCCATCCATTTAAAATAAGTGATTATTCTACTCTACTGTTACACTTAACATTGACTCTGCTTGATTTAAAAATTTTAATTATGGTCAGGTTGTGTTTGGTTGCGTGTAATTAAAGTCTTAAAATTAAGAAAAAGAATTTAATTTAATTTTTTATAATATTTTTTCAAATTCTAACAATCTTAATTTTAAAACTTTAATTTTAAGCCGGCTATCCTAAGAAAAGTAAAACCATCCACACATCTCCAAAGCTTCCATGAGCATTGATGGAAACTCCAAGTATTCGAGTCTCCAAATAGTCATCCAAAAGCAGCGGGACAATAATAGACTCCATTAGTGGAACAAGTCTAATATATCCATCCAATACTCAACATGAAAGTTATTTGAATACGTATATAGGGGAAGATGGGAATTTGAACAAGGGGCATATCTGACGCGACGAAAAAAAAATTCTAATCAAGTAAGGTAATACACATGAGTGCAAGAAGGAAAATAAATTGAGAGAAAAGAAAGTTAAAAACAAAGAAAAAAGAAGAAAAAAATAGTGCAAGGAAAAAAAATTGGAAAAAATTTAAGGTTGGATTGAAGAAAGAAAGTGCAAAATTTATTTGAAGAAAATAACATAAAAAACAAATTAAAGAATGAAGAAGTAGAGTTAAAAACTATTTTAAGAGCATAATGTAAAACTATATACTCTCTGTCCCAAAATGATTGGTCAACTATAATTACCCAACTATTTTGAAATTGGGAGAGTACATAATAGCAGGGTATATAAATAAGAAATTAGTGGGCCAGCATGCCCCAGGGGAACATGTTGGGTCCACTCCTATATATATAGTAGCATTCACAGGAACAACTACAACCCAATCTCTTTACCTTTCCAGTTTCCTAAAAAAAAATAAAAAATTATGTTACCAGAAGCACCAATGCCGTGGATCGGTATGTATGTTGCAGCAGCATCTCTAGTCTGCATCCTTGCAATGGCTGCTGACGTCTTCCAGGGGTTCCGCAACAGAAAACTCTGGTTTCCATGCAAATTTTTCACTCTCAACGCAGCTTACCTGACATTGTTAGGTGTAGCAATGAAGCTGCCAGTGGATCTGACTGCTCAGATGCCAGGCGTAACAGACCAGGTGGCGAAACTTACCAGCATCACCTTCCTGTCTACAATTATAGGTAATTTTATGCCATCTATAGGAGCTATGGATGACAAAGAAATTTTCATGAACATAACAGCCTTGGCTGTTCTCGTGATCACCATTTCTGTTAATATCTGCATCCAATTAACCACTGGAGTAGTACATAAGTTTTTCTCGGTAGAACACGTTGTAGCTCTCTCTTTCATGCTTGTTTTGCTTGTATTGTCGAGTTTCTCAGCTTTGACGATTTCCACCACTAAAAAATCTCTTCAACTGAATTATGATGATATACACAAAATAATTTTGAGTGAAGAATCAGAGCAAACCGAAAAGTTAACAATCCAAAATTTGAAAAAAAATGTAAAAAGATATTGGATTATGGCAAACTCTGGTAGTCCTCAGTTTGTTATGGCTCGTTCAGTAACATGCTATACTTCAGGGGTAATTTGTTTCTTGGTTGCATTCACTTTAGCAGAAGCACGCATCAGGATATTTTTATCGGAACACTATTCTGATCCACGCAGCTTTATTCTTGGATCAAGTTATAAATGGTCAACCTTCGTCATTCACGAGATGCAGACTTTTGGAGTGGTAGTAGGTACAATTGCCCCAACATTTAGATGCGTCACCGCCACAAGATTAAGGTGTTCGGGGAAAAGAGTCAAGAGCTACAAAACTGAGTTTAAAACAGAGAATTATTGGATCAAAAGGCTAGTTGGGTGGAAAGAGAGCTCCTTAGCTTTAGGATTCCGGAGTCAAATATGCAAAAAACTCGTTTCTAGCACAAAGAATCTAATTGTGGACTTATGTATAGGAGTTCAAATTGTGATTGTCTTGGCTAGCAAATTAATTATGCTAATCTCTTTTGTCTTCATAAGCCCGTTCTTGTTGTTTGGGGACTTGTACTACAAGGTCATATCTAAACATATTTTCTCAAGCAATCACCCAAGATCAGAACTGGAGCCTGCGGAGTCGGATCTCAGCCGTTATGTTTTGTATCTTGAAGGTGAGCAGGAACTGCTCTTGCAGATTATGAAGCACAACAGGAATGCTACTGATCATTTTATTCAGAAGGGTAAAAATCAGCAGCCAAAATATTTGAAAAAGCTTTTAGATAAATCTAAAACTTTCATGGGGGTGGCAAGGTTTGACAGTGACCATGTTTCATCGCTACATTTGGAAGAACCTCTTAATTGTTGGTCTCTTCCTGTGGTTACTCTTACAAGTATTGCCATTGCACTTCCAAGCATTGAAAAAGATAATGTGAAGTTGTTGCTTCGAAGTGTGAATGAAGGCCTCTGGTATGCCAAGCTAATAGAAAAATTCTTGAATGCCAAAACTGATATGCTAAACATCAGAAATGCAGCAGACTCAGTGTGGTCAGGAGTTTATCTTTTTCGCAAATGGCTAAATGCGGATCTTCAAAAAATTGCACTTAATGCAAAAAACTTCACAGAGACTCTTGTGAAACTTGCTGACATAGCTAAAAAAGGTGTCATTGAGTTCAAGAAAAACATGAATGGAGATCCGAAGGAAAACCCTCTGAATTGGCCCATCAAGGTTATTGCTGCAAATTCAATGTACAGAATCAGCCAAACTGTGCTGCAAGATACTGAAGGCAGCAATGAGACACTTTTCGAGGAATTATCTATTATGATCGCTGATATATTGTGTGCTTGCCTCACCAACTTGCCACGTGTCATACATATGAAATTCTTTGAGGTCATAGAAAAGAGGGAGGACAGTGTCCGGCATGCTGCTCAACTTATTGGTGAAATGGAAGAGATCTTGAAAATCCTTCAAGAACGTAAGCTTCCTAGTCTGGACCCAGCTGATAAATTGGCTTACATTGATGAGTGGCGTGATTACGCGAAGGCAAATACCGAGGCTTTCACTTCTTTAAACAATGATGGCACATCTTCTTCTGGTTCTGGTGAAGTGTAGAAGGCTTGCATGAGAAAAAATTGGCATATTATTGGTATGTTATGTACTTGTTTACGAGTTCCATATGTTTATATATTGTATGAATTATCTGTTTTGATTTTGTAAAAGCTTTTAATTAACACAGGTTTGTAGTATTCATATGGAAATTTAAGTTCAGTGTTTGCATATCGATCGTTTGAATTGCTGCAGCTTCATATACCAACTGTTCTTCCATTCCATTTAAATATTAGTCATCTGAGCAATTGTCTGTTCCATTTATCAGTACATGATTATCATTAGCTATCAGTCCCTCAAAAATGCCATAAAATGTCATTCCAATGCAAAATATCAATTCTCATACCAATTTCATATTATTATATTTTACACAATATATATATATATATTGTTTAATGACATTTGATTAGGTTTGTTTTTATGATTTGATTAGGTATTTTTTTTCAAAAAAAATAAAATAAATAAGAGGTAGGGTAATGTAGTGTTTACAAGAAGTTAAAAAATAAAAGGGTTAATAGAGTCTTTTTAATTGACAGATTTTTTAAAAATTAAATTATTCCTAAACTAGATAAGACAGATAAGAGTATAAAAGACATTTTACATTTTCATGGTAAGTCAAAATAATGAAGTTCAAATATTCTATCCGTATATAATTTGTTCAAACATTAAAAGAGGTCAGTGTAATTTATCTAAAAATAAAATACCAACTATACCAAGGCAGGGCAGGGCCACTGCCGCAGGGGCATACCCCAGGTGACTCAAATCAGAAAGAGCATAAGCCCAGAGGGAAGGGGAAAAAATGGCTTAGAATAAAGCCCAGGACTAAAGCAGAAGTAGGCCATAGAAGCCCAAAACTTGCTAACTAGCTAGCATAGGAGGAAGGATGTCCAACAAAACAACTGCAAACGTTAAGGAACATGTTAGTATGTTACCTTTCCCCCCGGAAAAGAAGAGAATAACAGGTTCGAATTGGTGTAGAAAGTAAATACCCCATGGCTATTTTACACATGGTGTCCCTGCACAATCATGATTTTTCTTGAAAACTTTTCATGTCTTGTTCATCAAGGAAAATTGAAAACTTGACATGATTAAGATTGTTGGTTTGCCTCATAAAATAGTTACTTTATCAATATATATGATAAACTTGAAAACCTGTTTGGTTCGTACTCCTCCCAGCACGTACTCTCGATTATCTTTATTTATTATATCTTTTTTCTTTTCTCAACCATTGCACACAGCTTGAAATATAAATTATGACTAACCTTTTGAGTGAAACAAAAAAAAGTATTTTCTTCATGGGTTTTTATAATTATTGTTATTATTATTTCATTTGATATTTGATAGGTTTTAGTTGCTTGAAATATGAGTTTAGTGGTACTATGTGTATGCAGAGCCCCATTTATAATCTTTATGGTATTATCAGCTTGATAATTCCCTTAGGTACAGCTAGTTGGTTATTAATTGGTAGGTAACACACAGCAGCTAGCCCTCTGCCTTGGTTATTATTATTTTATACGGAGTAATAATTTTGGTTGTTGGTTATAATATTAGTGTATTGAGTTCTCTCCCGTATAGATTACTAAATAGTTCATGTGATCTCGGTCAATTACAGACTGTCATGTAATTAAAACGTTAAATAAAATTTTCTAAGCGATGAACTAAAGCTCTTTCACAGTAGAGTTAAGGTGCAAACAAATTTAAGACCATTATTAGTTAGAGTTCCACCGAACGTTTTTGGAGGTTAAATAATTTGTTTATACACGGTGCGCGCACACACTAATGTTCAACTGATTTTTTTATTAATGGAGAAGTTTTAATTCTTATTGAATATCGAAAACAAGACCATTCGTAAATTAAAAGCATTTCATAAGTCATTGAGTAATTGAGGCATGTACTTGTACAAAAATTAATAAAAAATCAATTTTGGCATGAAGAAGTCAAGTACGGCATGAATTTATATAAAAAACTGACTTAAGAGATCAAATATTAATTACTATCAATAAAACACATCCAAATTATCCAATAGTTCACATGCACATAACCAAAAAAAAAATTATAATAAAAAACACGTAGCAAGGAATTAACTAAAAAAGTTGTAGAAAATTAGACATATTTGCTTATTCTAGCTTCACATGCAAAGACCACTAATAAGAGTAAAATAAAGAAAATTCATAACAGACACATTAAATTGTAGACTTTAGTTCAACAAATATGAAAAGGTGCACGCATTAGATATATGGAGATAAATGAGAAATTAGATAAACAATGAACTAAAATTCTAATTATCAGTTTTGGCCGCAGCACTAAATGCCTTATCTGGTTCAATACCAACCACAATGACTTGTCCATCCACAAGAGGAAAAATTTCGACTTGAATTTTCTTTCAGATTACACTGTTGAGTTATGGAAGTGACCTGTCCACAACATGGACTCTTCTCAACTTTAAAATTCTAATTATCGTCCGAAACGTAAAGCCAACCACACATCCTCAGAGCTTCTAGGAAGATCCATAGAAACTGTATCCATTCGAGTCCTTCTGAACTCAACATGAAAGCTATTTGAACACACACACACACACACAATAGCAATCACAGGCCCAACAACTACAACCCAAGCCCTTGCCTTTCCCCAAACAAAATAACATGTCCTACTCCCTGTCTTGCAGTGACTACAGTTCTATCAGCTCCTGTCTTGCAGTGACTACAGTTCTATTACTGGGAAGGGAAAGTCAAACCAATCAACGAACGGCACCCCCTGTCTTGCAGTGACTACAGTTCTATCAGCTCATACTGCTGCGACGACTACAAAATCAATTAGCTATATGAAGATCGATATGAATCACCAATGCTGTGGATCGGCTTCTATGTTGCAGCAGCATCTCTAGTCTGCTCCCTTGCAATGGCTGCTGACATCTTCCATGGGGTTCGCCACAGAAAACTCTGGTTTCCGTGCAAATTCTTCACTCTCAATGCTGCTTCCCTCACATTATTAGCTGTAGCAATGAAGCTGCCAGTGGATCTAATTACCAGCACGCCAGGCAGTATAGATCAGCTTGCGAAACTTACTAGCACCACCTTCTTGTCGATGCTGATAGGTAATTTTATGCCATCTTTAGGAGCTGTGGACGACAAAGAAATTCTCATGAACATAACAGCCTTGGCTATTCTGGTTATCACCATTTTTGTTAATATCTGCATCCAGTTAAGTACTCAAGTAATAGATTCTGCTTTCATGATAGAACACATTGTAGTTCTCTCTTTCATGCTTGTTTTACTTGTAGTCTCGAGTTTCTCAGCTTTGACGGTTTCCTCCACTAAGAAGTGTCTTCAACTAAATTACAATAAGATGCACAAAATAATTTCGAGTGAAGAATCAGAAGAACCCGAAAAGTACACGATTGAAAAAATGAAAGTAACTGTAAAAAAATATTGGATGATGGCAAAATCTAGTAGTCCTCAGTTTGTTATGACTCGTTCAGTTACCTGCTGTGCTTCAGGGGCAATATGTTTCTTGGCTGTATTAACTTTGGCAGAAGCATACCTCAGAACATATATATACTTCGGATACCGCTCCTCTATTAGTCCACACCACGTTGGATCAAATTATAGGTGGTCAACCGATGTCGTTCTTGTGATTCAGTCTTTTGGCGTAGTAGTAGGTACAATTGCCCCGACATTTAGATGGTACACCGCCATAAGATTTAAGGTGCTCAGATAAAAGAAAATTATTGGATCGAAAGGCTAGTAGGGTGGAAGGAGAGCCCCTTTGCTTTACCGGTTCGGAGCCAAAAGTTGAGAAAACTTATTTTTAACACAAAAAATCTAATCCTAGACTTCTGCATCGGAGTTCAGATTGTGATGGTCTTGGCTAGCAAATTAATTGTGCCATTCTCTTTTACCTAAATAAGTCCATTCTTGTCATTTGGGCACTTGTACAAAGTGTTGAAGCAAAAGCTCATTTCTAAACATAATGCCTTAAGCAATCACACAGAATCAGAACCAGGGCTAGCTGGTACGGAGCTGAATCTCAGCCGTTATGTTTTGTATCTTAAAGGTGAGGAGGAATTGCACTTACAAATTATGAAGAACAACTGGGATGCTACTGATTATTTTATTCAGAAGGGTGAAAAGCAGCGGCCAAAATATTTGGAAGAGCTTTTAGGTAATTCTACTTCTTTCATGGGGGTGGCAAAGTTTGACAATGACCAAGTTCCATCTCTAGATTCTGAAGAACCTCCTAATTGTTGGTTTCTCCTAGTGGTTACCCTTACAAGTATTGCCATTGCACTTCCAAACATTGAAAATCACAAGGTGAAGCGGTTGCTACAAAGTGTGAGTGAAGGCCTCTTGTATGTCAACCTTGTAGAAAAATTCTTGAATGCCAAAAGTGATATGGTAAACATCATAAATGCAGCAGGCATAGTGTGGTTGGGGGTAGATATTTTTTCCAAGTGGCTAGATGAAGATCTCCAAAAAATTGCTCTTGAAGTAAGAACCTCAAAGGAGACTCTTGAGAAACTTGCCGACATAGCTAAGATCACTGCCACTAAATTCAAGGAAAACATGAATGGAAATCAAGAGGAGAATCCTTTAAGCTGGCACATCAAGGCTATTGCTGCTAATTCAATGTATAGAATTAGCCAAACAGTGTTGCTGGACCTCGAATGCTGCAATAACCAAACAGATGAAGGACTATTCAACCATTTATCAGTTATGATCGCGGATATGTTAGGTGCCTGCCTCACCAATTTACCACGTGTTGTAACTATGAAATGCTTTTGCAGTGCTATAGAAGAGAGGGAGAAGAGTGTCCAGTATGCTGCTCAACTTCTTGGGAAAGCTGAAGAGATTTTGAAAATCCTCCAACAACGTGAGTTTCCCCGTCTGAATCCTGATAAAGTGGCATATATTAATGAGTGGCGTACATTAATAAAGAAGGAGAATCCCATGGATTTAACTTCTTCGTTCAATGATGGCACATCTTCTGGTTCTGGTGAGTTGCATATAGCAGTTGAGTAAGACGTTTGGTTAAAAATGTACCTGTAAATTATAATATTACTGTATGCTATGTACTCGTGTACAAGTAGTTTTCTTTCTTTAGATATTGTATGAATTCTCAGCTTTGGAACA